AGCGAAGCTCCTACTCCACGTGAAGTTGATCGCGCTATTGCACTTGTACGGTAGGAGCCACGGGCACGACATGGTGAAGGGCTAAAGGGTTGATCGAGGGTGAGACCCGGATGCTGGTGGCACAGCTGACCATGGACGAGATCTTCACCTGCACCAAAAAGTTCAAGCAGGAGGTGTTCAGCAGCGTGCAGAAGGAGTTGGACCAATTCAGCCTCTTCATCTACAATGCCACCGTGAAGCAACTGGTGGACGTGCCAGGGCATGAGTACTTCTCCTACCTCGGCGAGAAGACACAACAGGAGGCAGCGAGCAGGGCCAAGGTGGATGTTTGTGGAGCGGGATGGCCTCACGTGCCAGAACGTCGCCAAGGTGGACGCCGAGAACAAGGTGCTCTCTGTGCGGCAGCAGGGCAAGGCGCTCAAGGAGAAGGCCAAGGGCAAGGCGGAGGTGCGGGTGTTTGAGAACACTAGGAAGGCCGACAACGTGGCCTCAATGACCGACCTCGCCATGAAGTGGAAGGCTGGGACTGGCAGGCCAAGGTCACCGAGGTTGAGGCCGCCAAGGCTGTCGCCATCCGCGATGCCGAGCTACAGATGGAGGTTAAGACGAAGAACGTGCTCTGCCAAACTGACAAGCTCAAGGTCGAACAACTCAGCAAGTCCACAATACACTACGACACACAGGTTGGTTATGCAATAAGCATGTATAAAAATATAGTACTAGGGACAAGAGAAAATCATACTTATTGACCTCAGCATTTTATATTTTGTAGGTTCAAGAATCGAACACGCTCTTCTACAGCTGGCAGAAGGCGGCGGATACGACATTGTATAAGGAGATGAAGACGGCGGTGAGGTGAAGCGGCCGAGCAGAAACACATGCATGTCTCGATATGGGAGGAAAGGGAGGGAGATAAGGTGAGGTGTTAGCGGTGAAACATGCCACACGAGGAAAGGGGTGAAGAGATGACCTTGAGGAGGGAAGTGAGCTCGGTCCATGGCATGGATCAGAGTAGAGGAAGGTTGATCCATGGTTTGGCCAAAGGGGTGATGAGCGAGGGAGAAGTAGAAGGCCCCCTCTCATATCTTGGTGCGCGAGCAAGTCTGTCGAGGTGGAAGAAGCCTGTCATTTCATGACGGTGTTGGTGACCTTGGCGTGATGTTGTTCGTCGGTTTGTGGGCGGATCAGGCAACCGTCTGGTCTCTCGATCCCCCCTTCACTAATTTTGGTGAGAAGAGGGGAGGGATGAAAGGGTGGAGGGGTGGGAGATGAGGTCGCCGATTCTGTTGGTTGTGGGGGCGAGGGCGGAGAGAGGAGAGTGAGCGACACCGGTGAAGTCTATGGATCTAGAGATGGAGGGGAACAATAGAGTGAGTGGTGCGGAGAGGGAGTGGATAGAGTGCGGTCGTTCGAGAGAGGACAACAAGTCGTATAGGAGGGGTATAATGGGAATATCATAAAAATAAAGCTTTATTTATACCTGTACACTATATATATTTAGAATAACATAAAATATTTTCTCAATAAATTACTTGAAAATATCCAAGAAATTACGGATGACCGACTATCATTATATAAAGGGGGAATCTGTTCTTTGCTCGTGGAGAAATGTAACATAGTTTTTTTATGGGCAATATACCACATACCCTAAATAGTAGATATTCGTGAGAATAACCATCAACATGTGATTTAGAGGTGAGTCTAAAATTATTTAAATTGGGATGCCACTAAATCTACTAGAAACTGCTCATTTCTTGGATTTGTCCAATGAATATATATTTTCCATACCACCATGATAAAAAATTATTCTAATCTTTGTTTATATTAGAATACCTTTGTAGGTCATAAAAACTGATGAATTTGATTGTGCTTTGGAGATGTCGACTGACAAAGACCCTGATGTAACGATGATGAAGGGGGCTAAGAATTCAACAAGTTTTACACAACCAAAAGAGGTGCATGCAAATAATTGTTCTTCTTTGTATGTATGTTGCACATGATATAATACTCAACAGGTATATTTCTCTCTCTCTCTATATATATATATTAATATATATATATATATATATATATATATATATATATATAATTTTGTAGAATATGAGAGAGATGGAGATGGATTATGTCGGGGTTAAAAAAGAAACCCATTCAGAGGGTTTTTGGGGCGACATCATTGGAAGGGGACAAAAATTCACCATGTTTTATACAACAAAAAGATGTGCAAGTGATGATATCCCACAACAACGACGCACTCAAAATAAAGCAAACCGGCTGGAATTACGATAAATATTTATCGCAACATTTATTTCCAACTGGTATTCCGATGAGTAAGCTCAATGATGTTCACATAACTCAAGGAAAATATTTCAAAAGCCCGTAGCAACGCACGGGCATTCTACTAGTGTATATAGCGACTCTAAGTTGAGTGCGGCGCTTCGGTGCCCAGACCCAGCTGCATCCGGACAGAAAAAAATCGAAACACATATTAGAAAAATTCAAAAAAAATTCAAGTTTTTTTGTGTGGTAGATAATTTAATGTATGAGGTCTGCTCTAATTTTCAGATCATTTGGACATCTGAGTATCTCTCAGCAAAAAAGACAAATCAGGTCAGAACAGAACATGAACATTAATTTTTTTACAGACCTTGGATTTGTCTTTTTTGCCTAGAGATGCTCCGATGGCCAAATGATTTGAAAATTGGAGCGCCCCTCATGCATCAAATTATCTACGACACAATTTTTTTTGGAATTTTATGAATTTCTCAGTTTTTATTTTGATTTTTTTCGTGAGCACAGGTGCAGTTGAGCCTAGGTTCAGAAATAGATTATCATTTTCTCGCATATAAGAACTTTTGTATTGCAATGTTGTTTGAATTTAGTATTTAAATCCCTTCAATTGAGCACATAAGTACTGAGTTGATGCAATAAAAGAAAAACAAGGATAAATTTTGATAGATGTATATAGCGACTCTGAGTTTGCCTAATACTTACATGTTTTAGAGGTTACAAATATGCGGAAATCCCCAGAGTCACAAAAATTACCATCCCGAACAAAGTCGAGTCAAAATTTGACTGAATTTACTTGAACAACAGAAAGGGAGACCGTGTCCATTCAATATCTCCTCTCTTCGTGCCCACCGGCAAAGGAAAAATCACGCGAAATGAAAATTTTCCAACATCGCCATGGACATTAGAGCATCTGTACCGGCCTTAGACAATTGGGCGGTCCATTCGATCATTGATTGGTCACAATTTTTTAATACAAACAGACGCTTTAAAAGGGCCTCAAAAGTTCGGACTGACAGGTACCCCTCGTATCTAGCCAAAAAATACGACGGATATGAGGGCGCCCCTGCCACGTCGGACTGACGGCGGAGTCCCAGGCAGAAACGCCTGGAAACCCGGGGAAATCCGGCGGTCCGAAACTCGTCTCCTCTGTTGGACCAGTGGCGCAGCTCTGGCAGGCTGCGTAGTGCCTAGCCCGGCTATTTAAATCGACCGACGACATCGAAACCCTACCATCCATCCACGTTTTCCTTCGCCTGTCCGCTGCCACCACATTCCATTTCACCCGTGCCTAGTAGCCATGCCCCATGCCGTCGGGTGAGGAGCGAGCCATTTCTGATAACAGAGTGCCGGCTCGAGCTTCTTGAGCAGATCCGGGCTAGGTGCGAAGCCTGGATCGCCGCAGGGCTACCTCCAGATGCAGTGGACCCGGAGGAGTTGGAGGAGGAGGAAGAGGAGGAGGATGTGGGGGACGCGCTGAGGACACGGATCTGCAAGCGGAGCACCAGGCCATCCTGGATTCTCTCCGGTCGGAGTTGGCTGCGGTGGCCAGACGTCGTCGCCAGCAGGAGATGGAGGCGCAGCAGGCTGTGAAGGAGGCGAAGATGCTCGCCTATGGATGAGGTCGAGCAGGAGGAGGATGAGCCGGAGCCCTCCTACCCGTTCGTCCAGCCGGCGCCCGGCATCGTCGTCTTGAACATCTCTGACGATGAAGAGTAGTTAGGGTAACACGTAGTATGTAGTATCTATGATTTCTTTTGCATGCTTTGTATGGATTAGGGGTTGAAATATGAGAGACGTGGATGCAGAGTGATTAATTTAAGGCATGATTGGTTACTTTTTATGAACGCGACTTTGCGGACGTTTGAGGGACCGGATTTGTAAAGTTGCGCCTAATTTTTGAGCAGTACGAGCTTTACTCCATCCGAACAAGAGCTTCTATGCCATGCAGAGGCACCTTCATCCCTGTTCTCTCGGTGCTAGCCAACCATCTGTTTCAACCTCCATCATCAGCAGATTCATCCATGTCAAACCAGCATCCTCCTGCCTGTGCTCCCTCCTGATCCGGTGATCCCCATAGTCGCCCCCCATCTGGTTCCGCCATTGAGGGCACATGCGGTGTGCCCTGTTTAGGAACTTGGGACCGGAATTTGATCGATCGCTAACACAGAGTAAAA